CTGAAGTTAAACATTGTCATATTTACAGAGAAGCCTTAAGGTTCAAGAAAAGCATCAAATTTAATATGTGTATGCTTTTCTCAGTTGTGTTAGGCACTATCTGGGAAACTAACAACAAAGTCTTGCATAATTATTAAAATTAAAAGAGAGAAGTTAAGTTTTTTTTTCCATCTTTGTGATAACTGTTACTAATTTCACCAGAAATGTTTAACATTTCGCTGCATTTTTCACAAAATATTACTTTTTTTAGTTTTATCAACTACTAGATATTTAATAAAATATACCATACCATTCCATACCATACCATACCATTTTATTCATAGAGCACTTAAAACAGCGACAAGGCCAACCAAAGTGCTGTACAGACAGAAAAACAGGCAACACACAAAGCAATATACAAAATTAAGTAAATCAGAATATAGACATAAAAAAGATGCAGATAATAAATATGACGACTAACCTGCGTGAAGCAAACAGGTTCAAAGCACAGATCATCTGGTGTTGAAAGCTACTGAATAGTAATGGGTTTTTAAAGGTGTGTTGAAAACCGAGAGGGAGGGGGTCTGTCTGACAAGCAGGGGTAACTCGTTCCAAAGTCTTGGTCCTGCTACAGAGAAGGCCCTGTCATCTCTGTGCTTAAGACAGGTTCCTGGAACTGTGAGGAGCAACTGGTCCGCAGACCTCAGGGAACGTGGTGGGACATATGGCTGTAGCAAATCAGAGAGATGGGGGGGGAGACTGTTCAGCGATTTGTAGACATACAGGAGTATTTTGAACTGGATTCGAGGGTGAACCGGTAGTCAGTGCAGTGAGGCCAAAACTGGAGTAATGTGCTCTCTTTTGCCTGTACTGGTTAAAAAATCGGGCTGCTGCTTTCTGGACCAGTTGTAGTCATGCAATGGAGGTCTGATACCAAACAGGAGTGAATTGCAGTAATCAAGCCTAGATGTAATGAATGTGTGTATTACTGTTTCCAGGTTATTTTTGGATAATATGGGTTTCAGTTTAGACAGCTGTCTCAGTTGGAAAAAACATGATTTAACAATCATGTTTACATGATTGTTAAGTTTCAGGGAAGGGTCCATTATCACGCCCAGATTAGTGACTCTTTGTTTTTCTGACAGGCTTAGAGCGGAAATGTCTATGCAGTGGTTTGTGATCGTGTCGTTGGGAGGGAACAACATGACTTCAGACTTCTTTTCATTGACACTTAAGAAATTTAAAGCCATCCAGTCTCTGATGTCAGCCAGGCAGTCGAGCAGAGATTGAATAGAGCATGTACCATTGTGTCTTGGGGGAAGTAAATTTGACAGAGCGTAGAAGTGAAAGGGTATGTTGTGTTTCCGGAAAATAGCACCAAGTGGCAGCAGGTATAAAGAGAATAGGAGGGGACCCAGGATGGACCCCTGCGGAACACCCCATTTAAGCTCTGCCGCTGCAGAACTAAAATCCTTGATGGAGACACAAAAGGATCTGTCAATGAGGTAGGATCTGAACCAATTGAGGGCTGATCCTGTGACGCCCATCCACTGCTCCAACCTAGCAATGAGGATCTCATGGTCGATAGTGTCAAAATCAACTGTAAGGTCCAATAGTACAAGCAGCACAGAATCACCAGTATCTGTGGATAAGAAAATGTCATTAAAAACCTTCAGTAGGGCAGTTTCAGTACTATGGAGATGTTTAAAGCCAGATTGGAATAGCTCTAAGATGGCGTGATCCTCCAGGAAGCACTTCAACTGGGACTCAACTGTTTTCTCCAGTAGTTTAGAAACAAATGGGAGTCTGGAGACAGGCCGGAAGTTGGATACGACTGAGGGGGTCAAGGTTTGATTTTGTCAGGAGAGGCTGGACAGCTGCATGTTTAAAGGTTTTTGGCACCATGCCAGTGGATAAACAGCTATTTACAATAGCAAGAATGGACGGACCTAGAGTAGGAAAAACCTCCTTTAGTAGTCGAGGGGGGACCACATCAAAGGGGGAACCAGAAGGTTTCAAGCTGCACATGACCTGCTCTAGAGAAGATAAAGTGATGGGTTCAAAATGATCAAATAGAGCTACAGATGGAGGTGGGATGGATGGGTCATGAGTTGGAGGGGAAATGAGAGCCCAGGTGGTCGCAATTTTTTCCAAAAAGAAATGTAGGAAGTTGTCGCACAGCTCAGTCGAGGCTTCCAGAGGTGATGGTTCAGTGAGGTGGAGAACAGAGTTTAGGGTAGAAAAGAGGACACGTGGGTTGTGAGAGTTTGAGGTAATGATATCAGAGAAGTATTTGGATTTAGCAGCTTTTACTGCTTTCTGATAACAACGCCAACTCTCTTTAAGTATTTGAAAAGAGACCTGCAGCCTGTCTTTCCTCCATTTGCACTCCGCCCTCCTGCACTGCTGCCTAACGGCCTTGGTGACGTCATTCAGCCAAGGTTCTGCTCTGAGTTTTGATTTTTTAGTTTTAACAGGAGCGACATGATCCAGAGTCTTTAAGCAGACAGAGTTGAACTGGGATGTCAGCGCCTCAGTGATGGTGAGAAACACCGGGGACTGAATTATCATTTCAGAGTTATAAACATTTGTGAAACATGCAACAGTGAAGTGGTTATATAAAAATATCTATAATATACATAAATATATATATATATAAAAATATAAACTTTTTTATCCTATGCTTATCTTTCCTTTAAACTATAAGTTGTTTTCCATGGTCCCACCAAGCTCAACTAAGTTGGAGCTCCCATTTCAACTATTAGTACCTTTTTACCAATATGTTAAAATTAAACCAGAGCCCCTCAAATCATCTGAAGGGTAAAAATGGCACACTATTTTAAAAGCATATAATTTAGCTTCTTGTGGAGGCCACTACAAGGTTTTAAGTTAACATTACATCACTATGATCAGACACAATGACATCATCTCTGCAGACGAGTTTCTGCTCTTTCTGCAGCTGTGAAACGCCTGAGTGAGCACAGTTCTCAGTTTAGGGCCAAAAGATCTCCACCAAAGTGATGACGGATCACATTTTACTGCTGTTTAATGTGGAATAGGAGCACTGACACGCACACAAACACACACTGACAGTGACATAATGGTTCAAATTTCTTGAGATTAAATACACAGCAGTGGCCCTCATTGAATATATTGTAACTCCTGAAACGTCTGCACCATATTTCTGCTCTCACGTCTTTGTGGAACACTGAGGGTTCAAAAAGGATTCTCTGTGAACTCTGAGACTGAAGTACATTTCAATGTGAGAAAAATCTACAGTTTCAAGGGTTTGTTTCAGATTCTGTAGTTTATGCCAATATAATCTTTGAATGTAAAAATGCACACTCTAGTACTAAAAAAATTAAATGAAATATCTCCAGTCAAAGTTCATATATATTTCAGGCAGCAGTAAGAGGATTATTCATCCTTTGTCATTGGTTTCTTCAGATTAGGTTGGAAAAGGCAGGGTTAATAAGGAACTTCTACCATACAATAGCTATAAACTACTATAGGATTGTTCTTTAATCATTCAAGGTGTGTGTCATTCTTAAATGTAAATGATTTTGGCCAATGTGTGATGAACAAAGAGGATATAATATAGTCTGGACACTAACAAACCAGGTGACAGACATAAAGTAAAAAGGCCAAAATCCTCTATAACTGCACAGGTAGTGCCACTAAAAAGTTGATATTTTATTGAATATCTAGTAGTTATAAAATAAAAGTGCAATGATGATACAATTGTTGGAACACTAAATGACATTTTGACACAAAACTAACTTATTTTAATTTCATGCTACAACAGCAACACCAACATGCTATAACAGCAACAGCTACAAGTTATCTCAGAAAGGATCCATCAGTATTCAATCACAAGACTTCCATCCATCCGTCCGTCCGTCCGTCCATCCATCCATCCATCCATCCAGCCATCCATCCATTACTCTTGTTCTGAAGTCGGGTCACGGAGGCAGCAGCTTGAGCAGGGAGGCCCAGACATCTCTTTCCACAGCCATCTCTTCCAGCTCTTCTGGGAGGACTCCAAGGCATTCCCCCAAGAGACTTGTCTCTCCAGCGTGTACTGGGTCTTCCCCAGGATCTCCAGTCAGACATGCCTGAAGCACCTCCTTAGGGAGGCACCCAGGGAGCATCCTTACCAGAGTTTATGGCCATAGGTGAGAGAAGGAACATAGACAGATAGGTAAACAAAGAGCTTTGCCTTACATCTCAGCTCCCTCTTCACCACAATGGAATGGCACAAAGTCCACAATAATGCAGATGCTCCACCAATTCATCTGTCAATCTCACGCTCCATTCTTCCCTCACTCGTGAATAAAACCCTGAGATTCTTGAACTTCTCCACTTGAGGCAGAACCTCACCCTCAACCTGAAGAGAGAAATCCACCCTTTTCCAGTTCAGGACCATGGCCTCAGATCTGGAATGGGGTAGGGTGCGGTTGTCCCTGTTGGGGGATTCCCGGGGCTCCGGGCTTGGGGACCACTGGGTGTACGTGAATGTTTTTGTATAGTGCCCTGAGTCTATGTTTGTTGAGACAGAAGAGCTGGAAGAGGTGGCTGTGGAACGAGCTGTCTGGGCTTCCCTGCTCAAGCTGCTGCCTCCGTGACCCGACTTCAGAATAAGCAGAAGATAATGGATGGATGGATAGATTGAATTGATTATGTACAGACCAACCCCAAATTCCCCCGACTCAGCTGACAGGAAGATTTTATTTTCTTTTTCTTTTTTGCACAATACAATCCAAACACAAAATAATACAGATAATTAACATAAAAAAATAGAAAAGGGCAAAAAGCACATAGAGCTTATAAAAATCCTCCCTTCAGGTATACCTACGTTAATAAAGCATAGCAAATTACGCACAAAATCATAAAAACACCATCAGCAATGTAATAAACAATTAGAAGAAACATTTCACATAAGTACATAATAAAGAAGCAGTTAAAAGCTCTTTCAAGCATTTTACAACATTTTGAAGAAGCTTTTCTCTTGATTTGCAGCAATGACCACCCAACTTCTGTGGATGGCCCTGTCCCTACTGACCCTGCTCTGTACTGTGTCACACTGTGTGAGCTCCAAGGACAGCCAGCCAGATCCTTCAAACCCACAGCAGGGGATCACCTTCAGCCATGTCTACAAAATTGATGTCCCAGGAAGATCCAGTTGCACACTTGAACATCTGCCAAGCCAGGATGAGACAGGTCACTCAGACAAGATATAAATCAAAATTAAAAAGAGTCAGCTGACAAAAATGTGGATAATTTTAGGAAAAATGCATTTTAAGTATTTAATTACCTAAATATATTTAATGATGCAGGATATAGAACTTTAACAATGTTTTTACTTTCTGATATGAATTGGATTTTGTGACTAAATTTTGTTTTATCTAATATTTATAGGTCTTCAGAAAGACACCACAAAAAATGGGGAAAATGACATTATCTTCAAACATAATATTAGGCTGCAGACACCTAAGTGTGATTGTGAGGACTCGGAAAGCTTCAAGAATCTTCTGTACAGAGTTAATGGACTGGAAGAAGAGGTCAACTATCTGAAGACCCAGTGCACTCAGGGATGCTGTGGAGGAGGTGGCGCTGCAGGTAGGCTGTACAACCAACAGTTACGATACAAGGATATCAGTGTTTAGGCTGGAGGTAGAAGAAACCACTAGATGGGGTTGGAGGAGGGAGAAATAAGCAATGCATATTTTGCATTCTTACAAAAGCATTAAATGTGAGCAAGGACATACATTTCTAACATGTATAGGATCAGCAAGAACTGAGCCAAAATCCTGCAAACCGCTACAAACTGTAATTCATTTTACTCCTCTTTTTATCAAGGTGTGGATACAAGCTGTAGCGGTCACGGGACTTACCAGCACGAGACCTGCAGCTGCCTCTGTAACCTGGGATGGGAAGGCCCAGATTGCTCTGTGTCCTCCTGCCCTGATGAGTGCAATAACAACGGTCTGTGTGTGGAAGGGAAATGTGTGTGTTATTATGGCTACACAGGAGAAGACTGCAGCCAGCTGACGTGTGCTAACAATTGCAATGATAAGGGGCAGTGTGTGGATGGAAAATGTATATGCTTCCCTCACTTCACCGGTGAGAGCTGCAACACCCCAAAGTGCCCTAATGACTGCGCTGACAATGGGCATTGTGTGAATGGCCAGTGCATCTGTGACGAAGGCTTTCATGGGGAAGACTGTTCATTAGGTAAGCTTTTCAAACTCAGCACAAAATCTGCAGAATTTTTATGGCTGCTTTGACTTATTTTTCAATGTAGCAATATATGATTTGAGTGGTTTTATTTAAAAAGAATGGTTCCCTTTAGAAACTCACATTTAATAGTCAAACATTGTCTACAGGGAATTTTCTGTGTTAATATTTACATCACAAGCATAACATTCTTTCAGCATCATGGCACAGATTTATTGCATTGTATGAAACCTTTTTTTAAATTGCATGGTTTTAGGCAAGCAAATATCTGATCTGATCATTTTCTGATGATCAGAACAATCATTATAGAGTTTACACCACAACAATACACACTGAGTATTGGCAGGTATGCGAGAAACGATTGTGAAGGCAATCTTGCAGGGTCAGCGAGACAGAGGATGAGTGAAAAAACCCGAGTAGAACTTGTTTCTAGGCTCAAGTTTCAAGGCAGATGAAGTGCTGCCCACCTGGGGAAACAACAACCTGGTGATTAGCTCAAAGAAGCTCAGGGGAGATATGATGCGTGCAATAAAATAAAGGTGAGAAACAGTTGTATCAGGTAATAAAACATCCATCTCTGTGTTCTGGAAGAGACAGTGGAGCACATTACAAACACACAGAGGAAAAAGAAGAGGGAGGGAGAATAGAGATGAAACCTTTCCAGCCTGCTGTGATCAGAGAAAGACTGCAAGACGTTTGGTTATAGCACCTGATAATGCAGGCTAAGAAAACAGAGCTAAGTGATTAAAAAGTACCTTACTAGTACCTGCTAGTTTAAACAACACATAAGTACAATTACTTCAATATTCCAATAAATGAACTGTCGAAGGTACCTTCATCTGACAATACATCGCCGAAGAAGAATGGAAATAATACTCCATGGACACGTCTCCTCTGACATCAGACCCACAATGGACACCCACTAATAAAAAAACAGAGGTTTGTTGTCTGCTCATCATGAGTGACTGATGTGAAGGGTACCATGGATTCACATGCCATTTAAACAGAAACCCTCAAACAGGAGCATCACCCACAGAGCTAAACAAATGTCTGCAGAGAGCACTTAACTTTCTCACCCACCATGCATTTACTCTAATTATAAATAAACACAAGGGATTAAAAGTCTTAAAAGTCCAAAAAGTAATGCCGTACTTTGAATAGCCCTGTTTTGAATAATGCCACTAATCGTCAGATGTCTCATACTAAAATGAAATTAGATAAATATATATAAAACATAAAAAAAAAAAAAAAAAGAATATCAGTATTTCTTGTTTATTTTTGTTTTTAATTTGTCTTATTTAGTTTATGAACTAGTTGTGCTTTTAGTCCATTTCTCAACGAATATGTGCAAGAGAGGTTACAGCTATAAACAAAAAGACATCAAGGCTCATGGTCAATAATCCAGGTAAAAATCCAACAATGTTCAGTCAGGTCATCTGGACAGTTTCTTTTTTTTGTTGTTGAGACATTTCACCCTCCATCCGAAGGGCTTCATCAGTCTGAGAGGTCACAGGCAAACTGTTTTCCCCACTAAGCAGCACACTCATAATAATCAATCAGTTATAGTCAAAAATACTTTTCCCCATAAATCAGACACAAACAGTGCTGTCAATAGGCTGTTGCTTTATCTAAAGAGATTTAATTGATGAGTTTGAGGATTTCATGTAATGTTCAGAGTTGTTCTAAAATAAGTGTCTGGAAAAAAGAGTAAATATCTTCACCGCAACAATCCTCTGAAGATAGAATGAATAGGAATGACGTGCTACAAATGTGATCTTACATGTGTAAATAATTCTCCAGGTACACTTTTAATATGATTCAAAACCATGTTAAACTCATAAATCATATGCATTTACATAACCCCTCTGCAGCTCTTTTTTGCAGAAGCAACATACAAAGTGCAACAAAAGACATGAAAAAAAGAAACAAGGTCACACCATGTTGTAATAACAAGCATCAAAAGTGCAACAGCAGTCTGCAAAAACACATCTATTTACAAAATGTGGTGTGCATTGGAATATGAAAGAAAAGAACTGCATATGGCAAATTATATGCCCGTCAACAAACTAATATACAGCAAAACAACATTCTATAGCAATGACCTAGAAGAGCATTAACTTTGTATACCATTTCACCTTGATTTGTGATCTTGACCATGTAGCTCGTGTGATGAAGTGTACACAACACTCCATCTAGTGATGATGCATATGTGTATTGTTTCATTAAATTATCTTGAGCGGTTTAGAAATTATGGTTCAGACAAGCAAGAAACAATTGACCTTGAAGTATTATTTTCATCAGTTATTTTTTTTCAGTTATTTTCACCTTTAAATCACTTATTGGTCTGTTTCCTTCATACATCTCCTCCTACATGTCACTGCGTGAGTGCAGCTGCAGCGTGCGCTCTCAAGACATCATTACTTGCAGTGTCCCCTCAGTGCAGATGAACTTGGCAAAAGGGCCTTCTCCTACTCCACTTCTGTAACTTGGAACAGCTTGCAAAAATATCTGAAGTTGTCAACTTTGACATCTCTAAGACATTTTAAACAACTGTTAAGTTCATGGCAAAACCCCCCCAAAAAACCCAGACATGTTCCTGTTTGTTAGTACTTTGTATTTTATCTCACTTTATAATGTAGCTGTTTTTGTTTTGTTTTTAATTAATTTCTTCTATTTACATTTCATTTTATATGCTTGTATATGATTGTCTATGGTTGTCTGTATCTCATCTGTGTTCTTTGTTTAAAACAAGTCTCTCTTGTAAACGAGTCCTCGAGGCTCAATGAGACGAACCTGTATAAATAAAGATCGAATTAAAAAGTAGTATGGACGAACAAATAGACAGACAGGGAATATACCATAATATCAATCCATCCATCCATCCATCCATCCATCCATCCATCCATCCATCCATCCATCCATCCATCCATCCATCCATCCATCCATT